TGACGGCATTCACGTATTTTGCATTTTAGTAACCAAAGAATCATATATATTGTTTTAATTGGTCCAAAATAAAGGGCAATTGAAAAATAACGTACTATCAGAACACTATTACTTTCACCATATGAATTTCGAAGAAGTATGCAACAATTCCAATTAAAATAAATACATAAAAGATTTTCGATTCCATATATACTTCATAGATTTAGTAATCACAAAATATCAATTCCAATTTTCATATTATTTATGGAGCAGTTCCGTAATGGTAAAATTTATTACGACAAAAAAAAATAATACCATCAATTAGTATTCACAAAAATAATAATAAATAATTGAGTCATAACTCATATAATCTAGGCTCTGATACCAAATGTAAGCGGAAATATTCATGGATATTATATGAGATTAAAACATCAATACTTACTTGTTGAAGTCATGATTCGGAATTCCGAATGGATGAATGACCGGATCTTCCTCTGTATCTCACACTCCCGTTCACAACTTTCAATGGGGCAAGTTATGGAGCCGTCAGTTATGTTTCTGATTCTTTTTGTGATTACAGAGGGGACCTAGCCATATAATATATATAACCCTAGTCCCTACCCATTATGGGTCCAAGGTTAAAGCCCACACTTTTACCCACACCAATCAGGTTTCAGATACTCATCCATTAGTTAAAAATTGATCACTTAATTAATTAAAGGGCTTATATATGCATCCCCATCAGAATTACGATTAACCCGTTTTTTTTTACAAATTAAATCATAATTGATTGTAGCCCATAAAATATTAGATAAATCTAACATCTTTCGCTTCACAATCTATTCAACACCTTGAATCTCTCGTTTCAGAACTCACTTCTTCTCTTCAAGTGGACACAGAGATCCTTTTAAAGGAAGTGTCACTTTGCATTTCACCTCCTGAGTTAAAGAGATATGAAGTGTTCTTAAGTTTCAGAGGAGATGCTGACACCCGTGCGCGTCACACTGCACGTCTCGCTGTCCTTTCACATCTCCTTGATTCTCTTAAAAAAATTGAATCTCTCATTTCACATCTCACTGCATCTCTTGAAAAGGACAGGTTTGAAGTGTTGTTAAGAGGGGAAGGCACGTGTGCATATTTCACTTCACATCTCCATGATTGTATTAAAGACTATGAATATCTCATTTCAGAACTCACTGCTTCTTTTCAAGAGGACGGGTTTGACGTTAATACAGTGATCCACGAACATGAAGTGTTTTTAAGTTTCAGAGGAGATGACACACGTGCTTCTTTCACTTCACATCTCCATGCTTCTCTTCAAAACGATGGAATCTCCGTTTTCATGGACGAGGATTCGCTTCAAAGAGGAAATCACATTTCAGCATCACTACTGCGAGCCATCGAAGACACTAAGATCTCTGTCATTGTTTTCTCAAGAAATTATGCAGATTCCAGATGGTGTTTGGAAGAATTGGTGAAAATAATGAAGTGTCGCAGAACTGTAGGGCAGGTGGTGCTTCCAGTGTTCTATGGTGTAGATCCATCTGAAGTTCGTCACCAGACTGGTGAGTTTGGAGAAGCATTTCAAACTCTTTTGAATAGGATTTCAAAGGGCAACAAAAGAAAGTCTCTGAAATGGAGAGAAGCACTTCGTCAAGCTGCTGGCCTTGCCGGTTTCGTGGTTATAAATTCAAGGTAATTTAGGTTCAGTTACTTCCGGAAACTATTTTGTTTTCAGTAACCAGGAGTTGAAAGTTAGATTTTCAATTTTATCTCACAACCACATTCACTATTAAGATGTCCTCATTCTATATAATTTATCTCATGTGGAAGAATCATTCCATGTTTGATTAATATGTGACATAATGATTGATGCAAGAATTGTTTACTCAAAGCATAGTTTGAAGTACAATTTACTTCTTAGAGCATCTCCAACCGTGAACTCATTTTTGAGTTTTTTGTGGGATCTATTAAGCCACGTCAGCTTGAAGCAACTCAACTAATTTTTCACTCCAATGGTGCAATTTTGAAGAACTCATATTGGGTCCCACAAGTTTACTTTATATGTTAATATTTTATTCATATTAAATTTTATATCACTTAAAATAATAATTTTAATTTTTTTACAGAAAATTATTTCAATCTACTATATAGTCCAACCGGTATATAGTGTTGTTTTAAGGAAAAATATTTTATTCTACTATATAAACTTAAAAAAAATTAGATTAAATTTTAAAAAATATTTCAATCTCTCCTTAGTTAATTTTAGTGTTTTAAATTAAATTTGATATAAAATAAAAATAAAATTAAAATTAAAAATTAAAATAAATAAAAATAAAATAAATAAAGTTCAAATTAAACTTATAATTTAAACTTATAATTAAAATATAGTTTTCATATTATAAAATCAATATTTTAATATTGTAATTATAATTTTCATATGATAATTAAAATAATAAATAAAATTTTATATTAAATTATAATTTTTATATTATAAAATTAATATTTTAATATAAGAACAGTTGAAGAACCGTTGCTTAATTAAGCACCGTTCAACAACGTGACAATCTTGGAAACAACAAATATGAGTGCCATGTTGGCAAATCCACTCTAAGAACTCCCATTGGAGTTGGTCTTAGTGGTTTATGGACAGCATCTTCGAAAGTCATTGCAATTACTTTTTCTTACTCAAATTTTTCATATGCTGTTGACTCATTCGGACACACATATACTCATATGTGTGTCTGTGCGAGAATGGTTGTGCGCGTGTCTGCTTGTGTTTTGGTTTATTCATCTTTTATTTGGTTCATTTTATAGGAATGAAAGGGAGGCTATCAATCATATTGTTGAAAAAGTTACTCTTTTGCTTGACAAGACACAATTGTTTGTTGCTGATAATCCAGTGGGAGTTGAATCACGAGTGCAAGATATAATTCGGCAGCTAGACATCCAACAATCAAATAATGTTCTACTCCTAGGGGTGTGGGGTATGGGGGGAATCGGTAAAACAACCATTGCAAAAGCCATTTACAATAAATTTGGCCGCAATTTCGAAGGTAGGAGTTTCCTTGCAAATATTAGAGAAACGTGGGAAGAAACTACTGGAAAAGTGTGTTTACAAGAACAACTTCTGTTAGATATCTTCAAAGAAACAAAAACCAAGATACAAAGCATTGAGTTTGGGAAAACTACATTGAAGGATAGGCTTTGTCATAAAAGAGTACTTCTCATACTTGATGATGTAAATAGTTTGGACCAACTAAAAGCTTTGTGTGGAAGTCGTGAATGGTTTGGTTCTGGGAGTAGAGTAATAATCACAACTAGAGATAAACATATACTTAGAGGGCTAAGAGTTGACAAAGTATACACAATGAGAGAAATGGATGAAAATGAATCAATTGAGCTTTTTAGTTTGAATGCATTCAAGCAACCTAGTCCTAGAAAACAATTTGCTGAAATTTCTAGAAAAATTGTTGAGTATTGTGGGGGATTGCCACTAGCTTTAGAAGTCATTGGTTCCTATTTATTTGACAGGGGACTAACAGATTGGAAAAGTGTATTGGAGAAAATAAAAATAATTCCCAATGATCAAGTACAACCGAAGTTAAAAATCAACTATGATGGTTTAAATGACGATACTGAGAAAGAAATATTTCTTGACATAGCTTGTTTCTTTATTGGGATGGACCGAAATGATGTGATACAAATATTAAATCCATGTGGACTTTTTGTAGAAATTGGAATAAGTGTGCTTGTTGAGCGAAGCCTGGTAACTGTTGATGATAAGATCAAGCTTGGAATGCATGATTTGTTACGAGATATGGGAAGACAAATCATTCGCGAAAAATCACCAAAGAAGCCTGAGGAGCGTAGTAGGTTATGGTTTCATCAGGATGTTTTTGATGTTTTATCTGATCGAAATGTAAGCACTTTTTATACTTATTTTTGCATTTAAAGTATCTATAGCATAAAAAAGAAAAGAAAAAAATCATTTGAGTTAATTAACATAAGAAATTTGAAAATTAGTCTTGTTGAGAGTTAAAATTGTTTTTCTTTCAGATTTCTAACAAACAGTCAGCTTAGTCACAAGTTTTTTAACCGGTTTTGTTTCTTAAAGTTCTTCATGTTTTACCACAGGGAACAAATGTTGTTGAAGGACTAGCTTTGAAGTTTCCAATAGCTAATTCAGAATGCTTTAGCACTAAAGCATTTAAGAAGATGAAGAAACTCAGATTGCTTCAACTTGTTGGAGTAGAACTTGATGGAGATTTTGACTATCTTTCAAGAAATTTAAGATGGCTATGTTGGAATGGATTTCCTTTAACATGCCTACCTTCAAATTTTTATCAAGGAAAATTAGTTTCCATAGAGTTAGAAAACAGCAATATGAGATTTGTGTGGAAAGAGGCCCAGGTATTCATATTGATTTTAGTTTTTTGCATTGAACCTATTTATTTTCACTTTCATGGTAAATGTTTCCATTTATTTTTGTAAGCTTATTCCCTAAATTCTCTTTTTATTATTTATGCTCTCGTAGAGAATGGAGATGCTGAAAATCTTAAACCTTAGTCATTCTCATTATCTGACGCAAACTCCAGACTTCTCAAATTTGCCTAATCTTGAAAAGCTAATACTTGTAGATTGTCCAATGTTATCTGAAGTTTCCAAGAGCATTGGAGATCTCAAGAAAATTCTTCTAATAAATTTGGAAGACTGTATTAACCTATGTAATCTTCCAAGAAGCATTTATAAGTTGACATCTCTTAAAACTCTAATTCTCTCAGGGTGTTTAATGATTGACACATTGGAAGAGGACATAGAACAAATGAAATCTTTAACGACTCTGATTGCAAATAACACTGGAATAACTAGAGTTCCATTTTCTATTGTGAAATCAAAAAGCATTGGCTATATTTGTTTGTGCGGCTATGAAGGTTTCTCACGGGATGTGTTTTCCAGCTATCATTTCGTCTTGGATATCTCCAACAAATAATCTTACATCACAATTTCAAACTTCTATTATGTCATCTCTTGCTTCTTTAGATGTACCACATAGTAGTTCCCCGGAGCTATCATCGATTTCCAAGTACCTTCCAAGTCTCAGAAGTCTTTGGGTGGAATGCAGCTCAGAAGATCGGCTTTCTCATGATACAACAATAATTTTAGAGGCATTATATGCCATAAATTCTCGATTGGAACCAATGGCAACCACATCACAAGTATCAAAAAATTCCTTGAAATCTCTTTTCATTCAACTGGGAATGAATTGCCAAGTGGCCAATATTCTGAAAGAGAAAGTTTTACAGGTTTTGCTCGTTCTCCTTTGCATGTATTTTATTGTTAATATTATTGTTCTGCCAAATGTAAATAAGAAGTCACATGTTAGAAGAAAATGTGAGTGATTTTTAAGTGACATAAAAGTGATGTTGGAAATTCCCTCACACCCTATGAAAAATTCCCTTCAATCTTGATCTCAAGATTGATGAACAAACCCACAATATGATAATAATGGTAATAACAAGTAATTAACATGAACAAAAAAAACAAACAGCAAGAAAGAGAAGAATGAGAAAGTATTGAGTTACCCACAACTGTGAGATTTCTGATTTTATTGAACCTTCACTTGCTAACACTGCAACTGTGAATCCAGTTCTAATAATATGCTATAGAATACAAAGCAAGGCACCCTATTTATAGTTTTAGGTTTACACTAGCCCAAAACATAAAAGGTCCAAAATATTAAAATCAAATCTAATCTAAATCATATCATATCAAATATGTTTACACAATGAATTATATTTAACACACCACATAATTCATTGTGTCTAAACTCTCTACATTCATCATGGCTCTTAGTCTTCTGAAGGCTTCGACTTGCACTCCCTTTGTCATGATATCTGCAATCTGATTCTCAGTTCTGCAGTGTTCCAACTTCATCTTCCCTTCTGCTACCTGCTCTCGAAGATAATGGAACCTCATTTCGATATGCTTGCTTCGACCATGAGCTATTGGATTCTTCGTCAAGTTGATAGCTGACATGCTGTCTATCTTCATGGTAATTGCTCCATGATTCTTCCCTGTGATCTCTTAGACCAAATTCACCATCCAAGTTGCTTGACATGCACAAAGAGAAGCAGCTATATATTCTGCTTCACATGATGATAATGCCATTACTGGTTCCTTTCTCGAATTCCAAGCAACTGGTGCACCACCTAACATAAACACATACCCAGCTGTAGATTTTCGATCCTCAGCATCACTACACCAACTGGAGTCTGTATATCCCACTAACTTGCATTCTTTTTCTTCATCAGCTGTTGGAAACAGAATACCATAGTCGAGAGTTCCTTTCAGATACCTCAGTATCCTCTTCGCCGCTGCTAGGTGTGATACCTTTGGCTTCTGCATGAATCTACCTACCATACCAACACTGTACGCTAAGTCAGGCCTTGTGTGACAAAGGTATCTAAGTGACCCAATAAGTCTTCTGTATTGGATTAGGTCGACATCATCTTCATCTGAATCCTTCGACAGTTGCAATCTGGGCTCAGCTGGAGTCGAAGTTTGGTTGCAATCTTGCATCTCAAATCTCTTGAGTATTTCGCCTGCATATCTTCTTTGATTCATCATCAAACCTCTACTTGTCTTGTAGAATTCGATGCCTAGGAAATATGAGAGATTTCCCAAGTCTGACATTTCAAACTCCTTACTCAGGTCATGTTTGAAATCTTCGATCTCCTTCTTGCAACTCCCTGTTATCAACAAATCATCAACATAGAGACATAGTATAAGCAATTCGCCATTGCTTCTTCTTACATATACTCCATGCTCAGTTGTACACTTCACAAATTCCTTCTCCCTTAAGAAGCTGTCGATTTTCTTATTCCAAGCTCTTGGAGCTTGCTTAAGTCCATACAGGGCCTTATGAAGCCTGTACACCTTTCTTTCTTCTCCTTGTTTCACAAACCCAGCTGGTTGTGTAATATAAACTTCTTCGTCTAAGGGGCCATTAAGGAATGCACACTTCACGTCCATCTGACATGTGTGTCAGTTGTTCATATTTGCTAGACCAACAACCAACCTGATTGTTTTGATTCTCGCAACAGGTGTGAATACTTCATCGAAGTCGATTCCTTCCTTCTGAAGAAATCCTTTCGCCACAAGTCTCGCCTTGTGTCGAGTTACTTCTCCTTTAGGATTTACTTTCACCTTGTAAACCCACTTCACATCAATTGCCTTCTTACCTTGCGGAAATTCGACAAGTGACCAAGTATCATTGACTTCGATGGACTCCAACTCTTAAATCATTACTTTCATCCACTTCGAATCTTTCAATGCCTCAGCTGCATTGACTGGTTCGACATCTGCATAAAAAGCATAGTGTACCAACTCACCTTCTTCATCGACTACATCATCTGATGTAATTACACATTCTTGCAACCTTGCAGGCATGTGTCTTGTTCGTCGAGGTCTGATTGAACCTGCTTCATCTGCAACTGGTTCCTGTCGAACTTCTATTTCGACTTCAGTGGTTGGTTCTTCACAATAGATTCCCACTGAATCCTTCTTGGAATTCTCAGTCCAATCCCATTCTTTAAGCTCATCTATGATCACGTCCCTGCTGATCACTACCTGCTTATTCACTGGGTCAAACAGCTTGTAACCTCCTGTCGAATGATATCCTATCAAGATCATCTGATTCGACTTATCATCAAGCTTCCTTCTCAACTGATCTGGCACATGTCTATGTGCTATAGATCCAAACACCTTCAAGTGACTGAGACTAGGCTTGACACCAGACCAACATTCTTCTGGTGTGATTCCTTCCAGCTTCTTCGTTGGATATCTGTTCAATATATATGTTGTTGTCGAAACTGCTTCTCCCCATAATTCTTTGGGTAGATGCTTTCCATTCAACATACTTCTCACCATATTCATGATGGTTCCGTTCTTGCGTTCTGCAATCCCATTTTGTTGTGGAGTGTAGGGTGGCACCACCTCATGCACAATCCCTTCTTTTACACACAGCGTATCGAACTCTTTCGACACATACTCTCCACCACCATCAGTCCTCAGAATTTTCAGCTTTCGACCACTCTGTCTTTCGACCATGGACTTGAATCTGGAAAATACCTCAATCACATCACTTTTCTTCTTGATGAGGTAAGTCCATAACTTTCGACTGTAGTCATCTATAAACGTGACAAAGTATCTATTGCCACCAATCGAATCCACTTGGATTGGACCACATACATCAGAGTATATGACTTCAAGTATTGCCTTCGACTTCCTTCCTGCATCCTTGCTGGAGCTATTCTTGTGTTGTTTCGACTGAACACACTCCTCCCAGACTTCTCTTGGAATGTCGATTTCTGGTAATCCTGAAACCATATTTCTTCTCTTCAGTTCTCTGATGTCATTAAAGTTGAGATGACCTAGTCGAAAATGCCATAACCACTCATCTCTGCTGGCTGCAGTTGCTAGACACATGTGCTCCATCACATTTAGTCCAATCTTGAAGGTCCTATTCTGAGACATTGGAGCCTTCAAAATTAATCTACCACCTGCGTCGAGAACTCTCATCATCTTGTCTTCGACAACTACCTTGTAGTTCTTTTCGACAAGTTGCCCTATACTGAGCAAATTACTCTTCATGCCTGGTATGTACAACACATTGGAAATCGTTGACCTTTTGCCATCTTTCCTCATAATCAAAACATCACCAACACCTTCGGCTGCTAGAGTGTTGTCATTTGCAAACTTCACTGTGTTTTTCGACGAGGGCTTCATGTTGACAAACCAATATTTTCTTCCAGTCATGTGTGATGAGCATCCTGAGTCCAAGTACCACTGATCTTGGAATCTTTCTTCATCTTTTGTTGTAACCATTAGCAACGTTTCTTCTTCTTCATGTTTCGCCATCTTTGCATCAGTCTCTTGATTTCTCTTCCTTTTTGGACAATCACTAACATAATGACCATACTTCTGGCAATTGAAACATTGAATGTGGCTTTTGTCTGGCTTTCGACCACCACCTCTTCCTTTACCTGCAGCACCACCTCTTTGGTTGCCTTGGTTCCAAGGTTTCTTCTGATTCGACTGGTTTCCTCCTTTGTTGCCATTCCAGCTACCTTTGCCTTTTCTTTCCTTTTCTGACTGCGCCTGTAAAGCCATATCATTCGACTTTCCTGCAGCTCTCTCAATCATTCTCTGTTCATGAGACTCAAGAGTCCCTTGAAGCTCTTCCTTCGTCAATACTGACAGATCTTTCGACTCTTCTATGGCAACTACCACGTGGTCGAATTTTGGAGCCAACGATCTCAAAATCTTTGAGACAACTGCTTTCGTCGTCAGCGCTTCTCCACATACTTTGATTTGATTCACCAACTTTGTAACTCTGGTGAAGAAATCTGTAATGCTTTCGTTGTCTTCCATCTGAAGCAACTCATAGGTTCTCTTGTGAGTTTGTAACCTCACCTCTTTCACCTTTTCTGCGCCTCCAAACGACTTTTCAAGAATCTCCCATGCTTCTTTTGCTGAATCAACATCGCTAACTTTTTCAAAGTTATCAGGATCAACACACTGATGAATTATAAAGAGTGCTTTATAATCCTTCTTCTTCAATTCTTTGTGCGCAGCCTTTTTCGCCTCCGTTGCGTCCTCCCCAAGCGATGTTACTCCGTCCTTCACAAGATCCCAAAGATCTTGATAACAGAAAATCACCTTAATCTGCTTGCATCAATTCTCATAATTGTCTTTCTTGAGAATTGGCAGGGTCGCTAGAAAGTTGCCGTTCGGATAGTTCATCGCCATCACTATCTTCCTTCCTTGAATCTCTCAACCGGAGCTCTAGATACCAGATGTTGGAAATTCCCTCACACCCTATGAAGAATTCCCTTCAATCTTGATCTCAAGATTGATGAACAAACCCACAATATGATAGTAATGGTAATAACAAGTAATTAACATGAACAAAAAAAACAAACAGCAAGAAAGAGAAGAATGAGAAAGTATTGAGTTACCCACAACGGTGGGATTTCTTATTTTATTGAACCTTCACTTGCTAACACTGCAACTGTGAATCCAGTTCTAATAATATGCTATAGAATACAAAGCAAGGCACCCTATTTATAGTTTTAGGTTTACACTAGCCCAAAATATAAAAGGCCCAAAATATTAAAATCAAATCTAATCTAAATCATATCATATCAAATATGTTTATACAATGAATTATATTTAACAAGTGATGTGATCCATATATCCAATGCCTTAATGTTTTCGATGAAAATGTGTATCTAATCCACTTGCGTAGTTGCTCTTAAATCAATGTGATGATCTCGTGATGTTAAGGTTTCCCTTGTGACCCAATAAATATATTGTTAGATTGAATTTTGATCCTATTTTTCTTGTACAGTATATGACTGGCTATGAGAGCGGTGGTTGTGTGCTTCTGGGTGATAGTTATCCCGATTGGTTAAGCTTCAGTTGTGATGGTTCTTCTGTTACTTTTGAAGTTCCTCAAGTAGAAGGGCATAACTTAAAGTCAATGATCTGCATTGCCGATTCATCAACTTCGGATAACATAACATCGGATGGTCTTAAAAATGTGTTGGTGAAAAATTACACAAAGGCCACCATTCAGCTCTATAAGAAAGAGACATTAGCTTCCTTTAAGGATGAGGAGGGGGAGAGAGTAGTATCAAGTATAGATCCTGGAGACAGAGTGGAAGTTGTTGTTGTTTTTAGAAATGGTTTCATTGTGAAGAAAACTACAGTTTATCTCGTATATGATGAACCGATGGGAGAAAAAAAGGAACAATGCGAAGCACCAGAAGAAAATACGGTTGCTTGTACTGTTGATGAAAATGAAAGCATACAATGTGAAGCACCAGAAGAAAGTACGGTTTCTTGTAGTGTTGATGAAAATGAAAGCATACTATGCGAAGCACTAGAAGAAAATATGGTTGCTTGTAGTGTTGATGAAAATGAAAGAATACAATGCGAAGCACCAGAAAGAAATACGGTTTCTTGTAGTGTTGATGAAAATGAAAGCATCCTATGCGAAGCACCAGATGAAAATACAGTTGCTTGTAGTGTTGATAATGAAAGCATACAATTCGAAGCACCAGAAGAAAATGCGGTTTCTTGTAGTGTTGAGGAAAATGAAAGCATACAATGCGAAGCACCAGAAGAAAACACTATTGCTGGTAGTGTTGATGAAAATGAAAGCATACAATGCGAAGCACCAGAAGAAAAAACTAATGCTTGTAGTGCTGATGAAAATGAAAGCATGGTCAGGACAAGCTCTCCACAAGTGGAACTCGTGAAAGAAAATGTTGGCACTGGTAATTGTTGTGGATTTGTCGAGAATGGTTTTAGACAGTGGATTACAAATTTTATGTGTAGATTAGTGGAGTGTTGGAGATAGTCAAGTTGGACTTGAGTTTGTAAGTGGAAATCAGTCATTTTTCCAGAAGTCATTCTGTTTGAGAACAAACTTGGCAATCTGTGTGAAATTTGTGATATGCTGTTTAATGGTTTTATTAAATTTGTTTCTACTGTGTGCCTTTGGTTTAGTTTTTGTTCTTTTGTTAACTTATATGTGTAAGTTGGTTATTTTGAATAGTTTGAGTATTCTGATTAAGTAAGCAATTCCTGATGTTGTTTGCTGATATATATAATATGAGTCAAAGATATTTTAGTAGAATGGCGTCTGATTAACATTTATCTTCAAAATTCTGCAAACAGTTCAAGAGTCTAAAAATCTTATCATTTTCTCAATAAATTATGTGGAATCGTGTTGTTGTTTGGAATCGTGCAGAGCTATAGGGAAACTTGTTTTGCCAGTGTTATATAATGTAGATCCATCTGAAGTAGGTCATCAAACTGGTATGTCACCCCTCTAATGGTGCACATATTCGCATTTATAGGGTGTCTTTTGGATGAATTGAATTTTGAGGCTTGATTAAACAATGCAAGGTGATGTGGCTTGATGAGACAAAATTTCTGATGCAATTTTATTAGTTTAGTGCCACTTGTTGTGATTTGGAGTGTTCAATTAGAGTAAAAACTATGATGAAATTTATTGGTTTTCCCTATGTAGGGTCTGTTTGGATTGATGGAAAGGGATGGAATGGAATGGAGTAGAGTGGAGTTATGTTCTATTGTTTGGATTTACAAAACTTGAATGGAATGGAGTAGAGTAGAGTTACGTTCCATTGTTTGGATTTACAAAACAGGAATGAAATGAAGTATGATGAAACACATTCCATCAAATACCACTATTTTGATCTATTTTTTATTCCCCAAATTAGGGTGTATCCAATGTAATAGAATCAGTTAATAAAACAATTACAATTTTATCCTTCAAATTTTCACTTTTATTATTAACCGTTCATATTCCTTAAGTCAATCAACGTGATATTTTTCTATTCATTCATTGCAACCTTTCTCCTTCACAGACCTTCTTCTTGCTTGCAAAGAGTCTATCTTTCTTCTACCCTAACAAGGTACATCATATTTCTTCTTATTTTTTTATCTGTATTTATATGTGTGCTCTATTAAATTACATATCTTGATTTATCTTCACGTTCATGTCTTTTTCATTTTTTAGAAATTAGGTATAGTTACTAAAAACAAAACCTAAAATTATGATTTATGTTGCTTTATAGTGTTTTATATGTTAAATTAACTTTTTATTAAGAATAAAAGTTGAAATTAGATTTGTTGCAAAACTATTGTTACTGTTGCTTTTTTATTTATCTTTTTAATTAGCAAGACTTGATATCATTATCTACTATAGACATATATTTATCATTTAATTTTAGCAAAACTCGATTTTGTTAATGAATTACTATGAATACCCAGTATGGTGTTGATCAAAACTTGTGCACTTGGTCTTTGCAATTTCAAGTTATAATAACCATATTTCATTTATGAATATTTTAATTTATTACTGTATGTTTTAATTTCTTTCAGTGTTAAGTTGATATTTTTTTATTATTACTTATATATTATTTTAGTGTGAAAATGTTGAATCTATCAATATTGTAGCAAAGGGTAAAAATGAAATAAAAAAATTATAATGTTTTTCGCTCCGTTTAATTCTCAAACAGTGGAATGAGATATTAGTTCTGCTCCGTTGTAAAATATCCAAACAGTAGAATGACGTTTATATTCCGTTCTATTCCACTCCATTATATTCTGTTCTGCTCCGGTCCTCTCCGTTATTTTTAAATTATTCAAACATAACCATTGATTTGACATTAAGTTTATTTAATCTTGTTTTATGAGTAGTTGTTGGCTTGGTAATAAATGTATACTGAGGTCCTATCAAAGGTGTCTGGAGATTAACTTGTACTTCATCATGATCGACACTAGTAGTTTAGTGTGGGTGAGAATGTTTATATCGTAATCTTACTTTTTTTAAAGAATAATTATCTAATTGGAATGGGAACATTGTGATATTAAATTCTTGAATTTCTAAAGCTCATAAAATTGAGCAAAATAGACCTATAGCCATTGCCTTCTAATGTCATTATTCTTGTTATAAACATCTTAAGACTTTTTGGACTTACTAACTAAATTAGACTCTTTTGAGAATTTTTTAGGACATCTTTAGTATTTCTACTATACCATGTAAAATTTTATAAATGCTCCTTATTTTTAGAGATATATTTTCAAACGTATTCAAATGTAAGTGAACGTTGAAATATTTCAGAGATATATCTTCGAAACATTTTGGAGTATAAGTCGCGCTAGACTCTTCTCCTTCCTCATTTCATAATTTTCTTCAACCACAATTTCAAACTCTCAACACACTTCCCTACACTAAATCGAATTACATCAAACCATTCTCAAAGGAACTCAAAAGAACATCAAATTTCATCTATAACACCATTCAACTTCTTAAAATCATCAATTTAAAGTAAGTTTTTCAAATTTTCGATAAATGTTTGAGTTTTAGTGTAAATGAGTAGAAATCAATGATTAGGGTTGGAAACATCTATAAATCACATGTAATATAGTTTTTACATAGTGTATAAGTTGTTTGTTGGCTAAAAATAGTGATCATGACATATTTTTTCAACTTGCATGGGGTCAGTTCGCTATTGACGCAACTTCTGAGTTGAAGAACATTCCGGAGATGCATCTCCGAAATTGTTCAACGTTTCATATACTGCATGAAATTTTGGAGACACATCTCTGGAATTGTTCAATGTTTTAGTTAAATGGTGCTTTGGGAGATGCATCTCCAGAATGTTTCAACGTTTTAGTTTCCTAGTGCTTTCGGAGATGCATCTCTAGATTTTCCTGCAGTATGTTTTCTTATAATTTTCTTGCTTATGTATGTCGTTCGTGTGCACTGATGATATGCCTTACTTTATCTTACAGGCATAATGTCTGACAGAGACATGGTAGGGTTGCTCAACACGCATCCGTTCGGGAGGAGCGGAGCCAAGAGGTTCCAGTGGCTCTAGGTACCTCTGGTCAGACAGAGTCGTCTACTTCTGGAGCGCCATCTACTTTTGAGGCTCGTGTTTCACCTCAGGCCACTACACCTTCTTCTTCCCGTAGGAGACGAGATATGTCATATGACGCATTATTTCCCCCATCCTCCTACATGTGTCTAGATTCACTAGTGGCACCTCCTATGGATGATGCTACTGATCTAGTCCCACCTCCCATTGATGATGATGTTGATCCAGTGCCACCTCTGGAGGGTGAGGATGTTGCGGATGTCGAGCCAGGGGCTTTTGGAGGAGGTCCATTTGATTTATCTTTACTTCTTTTGTATTCAGACCATACTGCCAAACATATTTGGGACAAAGAGGTAATATTAGTTAGATTTTTTATTTTTTATGCGTTAATTTTAATTGCTGACATTGATAATTTTTTACAATTATTATTCATGACATTGATTATTTATGACAATTTCAGAAGTGTGATCCCTATAAGTTTCTTAACTACGGGAGGAAAAGTTTTGCATTGCGTCAATCGAATGTGGGTTGGCTTCAGACAGTCATGTCCTTATATGGCCTGAAGGACCTATGCATGACCGGTTACACTATGGTCAGTCACAAGATGCTTAATGCATTCATGGAGAGATAAAACTCAAAGACCTCTTCGTTTCATCTCCCACATAGTGAGATGTCTATCACACTAGACGATGTCTCGTGTTTGCTACATCTTCCGATCAGGGGGAGATTCCTAGATCATGAGAGAATGACCAAAGACGAGGAAGTCAAGATGATGGTAGAGCATATGTGGACTGATCTAGGGGAGGCGACTTAGTAGGTGGATAGGACCAGGGGTGCTCATGCTAGATTTGAGTTCTTGGAGAAGCTCTATAAGGTTGAGATCCAGAAGGCAGAGCAGACTTACGGTGATGATGAGCAGGTGAAGGTCCACATGATGCATACTTTATGAGCATACTTCCTTTTTTTGGTTGACACTTTGATTTTTATGGACAAGAGTGTCATTTATATTGACGTTGTCTACCTACGGTACTTCTTGAATCTCACTCGGATTGATGAGTACAACTGAGGGAGCGACTTTCCTGGTCTATCTCGAAGTCTCGAGATGGTTGTATGTAGAAGACAAAGCAGGTTCACATGCAACGTTACACTACTGGTGGTAATAATTCTTGATCTTTTAATGTTTTTTTTTCTCATTTTCATTTCATATTTGCAAAACCATTGCAGATGATTCGTGTGTTCCAAACTTTTTTATTTCATGTTTCCGTCGGCTTTTTTACCTCAAAGTAAACTCGTGCTTTTCGTCGTCCTTCCCTATCTAGAGCTGGAACTTGACTAGAAAAATACTTTTTTCCCATACTGACTCCTACAACACATCTCGTGCATCGCTGGTTGGGGGAGTGTGACTGAGTATACTAAGGATATGCCGCATGCTACTGCTTTTATCCCGCTCAGAGGGAACCAGGTAGTCGAGCCTTTCAGAGTCTATCTTGATCATTTGGTTGCTGAGGACATGCACTTCAACAACTACGTTGATCCCCGCCAAACCCGACCATTTGACGAGATAATGTTATACTCTGGATGATTGGCATGCGGATCGTGTCTCACTACTCCTCATCATCCGAGTGCGTTATGTGGCAATTCGACTACACTCAGACCATTCCCAGGAACTCTGTTGTCTCTGTTTCTCATGCTATGACACATAGATAAATATAGGAGATGTTTGATAGTTATGAGAGTCATATGGTACCATAGGATGCACGAGCTACCATAGCCCTGAGCAATTGGAGCTACGTCGAAGGGTACATCAAATAGTTCTTCAGGGTGTCACATCTGCACATGGTGCATGCTGCTTTAAGAAATCCGTCGAGACCAGCTCATCAAGAGATACTAGAGGAGGAGCAGGCTCAACTAAATCATACTGATGATGTTTTTCCTAGGTGTTGTTGCA